ACACCTGTGTGGGTCAGCCACTGTAGCTTTAGAGTGTATAATTAGTCTAATTAAATATGAATATTTGCAAGTTCATAGTTTCTATTCACGCTAAATACATTAAAAGTCGTGAGCGCGAAAACAACTGGTGACATAAAATCTCAGTTTGGCGACACATGTTCATAGCAAAACCAATTGGCGACACAGAATGTTTCCTTAATCTGAGCCCTGCTATTGCTTATACTTTGATTATAATTATTAACCTAATTGGTTATAAAGATATGTAGTTCATGAAATGATATAGTGTCCTATAGTTTGCCCTCTGGTCAGCACAAGCACCAATACAAAAGAAACTGAACCATGTCACAGGATTAGGATACATAATTTATACAAACATAGTATTACCCTTTACTATTCGACGACTATTTTCTTTCATTAATAAATATGCAATATTGATACAACCTTCATTTATAATGAAGGAAACACTTCAATTATGTTCGACATGTAAAAGGTTATCAGTATACAAATTTCTACACACGGTGGATACCCGAGATGGGATGCAGTGTAATCATAGGCTACTTGAAATAGTTAGATGTCATCACAAGTTCATGACATGGGAAATTATGGTGGTGCTCTACTAAGCTAGCTAATCTATTAGAAAGATACTAATTAATTTGGCAGCAATCCATATGATACAGGTTTTTTAATTAAACTATTTTAGCCATTTCATGTCGGCTATATTTAAAAAATGGTTGCAACTCCACACATGGAAAATATTTAAGTGGCTTCTATGGCAACCCAAGTTGTCATTTATTCATGGAGCAAAGTTGATCCAGTACTTAACCAAATTATATAAGATATCTTATAAAAGATACATACGACTTGGTGTGCTTAAAGGGGCGTAACCGAGATTTCCAGGTCAGAAAGCTAGATAAGTTATCTTCATCAACATTTACTGAACCCCATGGGTCAGTGGTTTTTCTACGGGTACTCCGGTTTTTCTCCGCCACCAATACTGGCACGTCCTGCAATGACCATAGCTATTAATAGGACGCTATAGAAAAGCACAGACAAACAAACCAAGTGTCTCCCTGGGCACATGTCTTCATATGTCTTTTGATGTGGTGAGAACGTGAAACACTGAAAAAAAACCTCCACAAGAAGCAGTTTTAAAGGTAAAGGGTATAAACCAGTTAAACTTCTCGTCATTGCCACTATGGGTAAATATGTTTAAGACCCTTTAAAAAGAAATATTCCATAACAAACGCAGGTAGAAATTTGATTGTTTTAAAGTAGAAATAGGAGAGCAGGTGTCCAACTTTGGATCTTTTTCTTGGAAAGCCTACACAATACCAATGTTACCATACAGGATGTATACAAGCATCAAAATGAATGTCCAATTTGCTGGCCGCAATGAGTGTCCAATTTACTGGCCGCAATGAGTGTCCAATTTACTGGCCGCAACGCATATGAAAAATTTGGCAGGGGATGTTACTTTAAGCCGGAAGAACTTATTTGGCTGCTTCATGTAACTCCAAGTAAATACAGGCTGGAACTCTTCTACGCGAGTATATCCGATACAGCGGACGTTTTACCTTAAAGGTTTATGGCAGAATAATACTGTAACGAGATTCATACAGTTAAAGTGCTTGATATGGTAAAGGATCTATGTCCCACTTCACTGTAGTTTTTCATGCACAGTAACTTAATTTCGTTTTGGATATAACTGAAGCAAAGTATTTGCCAGAAACTTCCTCTGACCAGATAGCTCAGTCGGTTAGAGTGATAGTAAAACAATCTGAAGTTCGGGGTTTGAATCCTGGCTTGCCTGGTCTCGCTGACTTTTTTATATTCAGAACACTGCTGATTATATCATATTTATTTCAGCTCTATTGTCTTTACTTTTCATAAAAAAAAACGCAAGGTATGGCTTTCTTTTCAGAAAAGATAAAGTCTCTCCTGAAAAACAGTTCCCAGTGGAAAGTAACAGTTTTTGGCAATGGCAGGAGAGTCCTTAAATTCATATTATGACAGCGATTTTACATTGAAGGTCAAAACAAGTGTCATGAGACACGTGGTTTATACATGCATCCAAAGTATTATCAATAATCAATTAAATCACGTTATCGAAAAACGAGTTTATATTATACATATGCATATAAAAATAGTATGTAGACAAATTATCAAAGTCAACAATCAACTGATTGTTTACAGATAATATGTAGATTAGATAGACACACAATAACAATCATCAATATCATTAAAATAAATAAAATAAATATACAACATTTGATATAGCGCCCTATCTAGCTAACATAAGCCACTCTAGAGCGCTTTAGAGTACATAGATATACAATTTAATACAATGAATACAATTAACATATACATTAATCAATACAATTTTGAAGAATTCGCAGGAGCTGACTTATCAGGCGCTAACTACAAGTCCTATGCCACCTGGCTAATATCTCCCTATGTGTGAATGCCTGCGTGTGTGCTGGAGATGTATTTTGTTCTGTTTGGTCCACACAAACACAAATACCGTCATACCATACAAACAGAAATACCATTGTTCCACACAAAAGCAAGTCACGGGATCTACAAAAACACATTGTCATCGGTTTAAACAAAAACAATATTTCATTGGTTTACACAAATGCGAGCCATCGGGGGCTTACGACTATCTATTGTTATTGGTTTTAAACCCCCCACAAATTTGTCATTGGTCCACACGAATATATGTTATAATTGGTCCATACAAGGCAAGCTATGATTAGTCAACACAAACATATTGTGAAGTTATCATAGGTCAATACAAATTATTATTGATCCATACCAACACACACAAGTACTGAATGTGATTGGGGCCATAACAAATAAAAATTCTCCCCAAAAACAGGCAATCGTAAAATGATGCAGTTGAGGTTGTAGTAGTGTTCGAAATACTATAATACACCTATATACCAAATTTTGACGAAATCAGTCATATCAAAATTTTAACCAATAAGAGGCAAGTCCTACGCCAGCATTTTTTTCTTATCAAAACAGAAAACTGTTGTAGCGTTTGCCGTACTATTATGCACAATAAACCAAATTTTAGCAAAATCGGTTAATCTCTAAATTTTGACCAATCAGAGGCCATGGCGGCCATGTTCGATGACTGAGGGGGAAAAGGAAAGGTCATTAACATATCACCTTCCATTCAAAGTAGAGAATATCCTTGACCTCAAAGTGAGAACTTGGGTAGTAGCAATGAAACAAGGCACACTAATAAACATAATAAACAAGAGGCTCAGGGGCCTTGGTAGCTCGTCTGGAATTTTCTATTTTGATTTAATACCTGTTGACTACTGTACACTTTTATCAAATAGTGCAAACACATAAGCTGTAGCAAGGACTAGGGGCATGCATTACAATGCGGACATAGATATATTTGTTGTCAAAAGGTAGGGGATCTCAACTCTTTCCCATACCAAAGGGGTTAGGCGGAGCTCAAGTCCAATCCTAGTAACATGAAAGTAGTCATCTCTTAATGGCCACTAATTGTTTATTTTGTTATATGGTTGTTATCTGAACTGGTTCTATGTTATAAACCAAAAAATAAGCCACAAGGGGTGGGGCTGGATCCCCATGCCAATTCTGGTAGCATGAATGAAGTTGTCTCACTTTAAGCCTAGCAGTTGTTTATGGTTATATGGATTGGATGTGAAATGTTGTCATATTATGACCATAGTAATAGGTCAAGGCCATTTTATTTTGCAAACTTTGTCAGGTAAAAAATCCCAGGAATTTTTAAACCAGTGTCAGGACTCTAGACCTTTATTTTATTCGCAAGCTTGTATTACCCAACCTCTGGAAACTACCACCTAAATAGCATGAGTGTAGGTCTTTAGTTCTTCATCAGAAGTCACTTGAGCTTTTGACACATATGACCTATAAGGCCTTGAAAGCAGTCCAATGTAAGTTTTGGTCGCAAAATTTATCTGCCTCTATCTCAGGAATTTATCAGCCAAATATCATGACCCTACGTCTTCTGCTTCCTCAGAATAAGTATTTTTTAAGTTTTTTGACATATTTTACTTCTGTTCCTGTGAAGTAGGTCAAGGTCGCTTTCTTTCAAAAACATTGACAGCCTCCTTCCCAGAAAGCTACATGTCAAATATCATGAATCTAAGCCTTTGTTTATTCAGAGCAAGTCGTTTGAAGAGTTTTACATCTCTCACCTCTGTGACCTTGAAAGTTTGTCAAGGTCAATTTTGTTCAAAAGTTTATTAGGCTTTGACAAAGGAAGCTTCCAGACAAAAACAAATGCATCATGATTTTAGGTCTTTCGGTTCTGCAGAAGTTGTTTGAAGTTTTATGACATATTTGACCTCATTGACCTACAAAGGTCATTTTGTTAGCAAATTTTGTTGGGCTCAGTTAAAAATATCTTATGCATTTCTGTTCCTCAGAAGAAATTGTTTTGATTTTTTTACGTGTATATCCCAGTGAATTTGAGAGTAGGTCAGTCATTTTTTTGCAAACTTTGTTGGGCTCCATCCAAGCAAGCTTTCAGCCAAATATATAATGATTATAGGATTTCTGGTTCTTCAGAACAATTTGTTTGAAGTTTTTCACATGCTTGACCTCTGTGATCTTGAGAGTAAGTAAAGACTTCAGTGGTCTCCCTGCAGAATCCTGTTTTCCTTCTTTATCCATGGCTTAGGAGACATTGAAGCCTAACATAGGTAACCTACGCCTATTACAATAGGTTGAATCTATTGTTTTCATTCACTTTTTCTGAGTTTTTAATTTTTGTCTCTCTTGGTATCTATACTTAGGCCCATTTTCTGCCAGGAGATCATGTTGTGTTGATAGGTCATTAGACTCAATATATCACACCATGCTTTACATAGGTTTAAAAATAAATGGTGAAAAAGTGAAATCAGAAATGTTTCCAAAACCTTGATCAGGAAATCAGGTACTAGCAGTATGTTTCTGTTGTCATGTGTACTGAAAATAATAAGTCTCAAACGATCAAATTTCTTCTCAGTTTTATTACCCTTCCAATTCCATACAAATTATGACATTTTACATCTGTACATTTGTAAGCCCAGATAACATACTGGTCAGCTATTCCGAAGAACAATACTGGCCGTCACACTGATACAGCTGGGGCGAGTATACAGAGTTACAAACTAGGCCGACCACCGGTATCAACAGCACTACAGAAGGCAAGTACGCCATCTCTTAGCCCTTTCACCACTGTAGACCATAATGGACTCATCCAGATCAATAAATAGTAGAGTTTACTAAAGTTACATAGGGGAGAAAGGGTTAACACTGTATATCAAATTTGATTTTAGTAGATAGAGAATAATGGTTCGTGTTACTCTCCAGTAGTAGACTTAAGGTAAATAGTACCACTGCATCAGTTCCACTCAAACGATTTTTTGACCTGGAATATCCTCCCTTAGTTTAAAAGACGAAACAGCCAAAAGGATTTTTCTGGCTTAGAGTAACTTCCCCTGTCAGGCTTTTCATAAGCTTTGCAGAATCGTGACCCATAAAATGAACACTAATTTTTAATTTATATGACAAGATGGCACGATTGATATTACACAAGATCTGTTTTGTACAGGTCCTCATGTTGCTTTTTTTTCTTTTTTTTTCTCAATTTCTTCTTTTCAAATATTCACATTTCTAACAAATATAATTCTGTAAACTCATAGCAACATATGAATTTTATGGAATACTTCTTTTGAAAAGGTCTTAAACAAACAACGGTAATAATATTGTTTAACTTGTTTGTACCCTTGTAGCAGTTTGGGTGGTACATCATCATAGACCTTGGTAGGATTACTACGCATTTTAACAAGTATGTTGAGTGGAAAAAGAAAAAAAGCAGTGTCTTTCAAATTAAATCAAACTAAAACAAACCTATTTTTCCAAACAATTATTATAAATGAAGTTTAATCCCAACTATATTTTTTGCATTTCAGGCCAATAAATACTAAACATTTTAAAATGTGATGTTTCTTTTTAAAAACAGTATAGCAATAACAATTGTTCATATTGTGTCATGCAGTGTGTATTCCAACAAAAATGGGTTTTTTCGGGTTGGTTTAAAAAATGAAAGTCCTCCCATCTAGTCTTTCTAACTGCTTAAAATATTTAATGGCAATTCATACAAAAACCTCTCATGAAATAAGAAACAGAATCTTTCAACATTTCTAATAGAGCATAAGAAAGGCAAATAGCATTTAGGACATTAAGACGAAAATGTAAGGTGTAAAATCAAGTAAGATCTGTAAGCAGGTATACATGTAATAAATAACAATGAATACTATATCCAGACTTTGTTTATGGAAAGGTGTTTCGGTGGAGGAGGAGATACAATGGTCGGTGTTAATATACAAAAGTACATGAGAATTAAGCTCATTCACCCCTACATATTTAAACTGGACTGGCCAAAATTTTGATTCGGTAAGGTTCAAATGTGACTTTAGGGGTGAATGGGTTAAATGACTGTTTCAGTTTTGTAAACAAATGTAATTTAAGAGCCAGGCCTTCAATCAGACAAACTGGGAAACATTATATTAGGAATTTACCAGATCAAAAATACTATACATAAAAAGATGGTGTAGATAAGCTCTAAAATGGATTATAACTACATACTTACAAACATTGTAGATACAGATTATTAACAATAACATTATAAAAATACAATCTGATAAGAAAAAGATTCTTGTTTCAACCATAAGTCTTGTACCATTTAGACCTTCCCTAAATACTCAAACTCTGTGGTGCTAAGCATAGCTTACTTCAAATGCCTGTTTTGGACCTTTGCCCATATTTAGCAGAAAGTCCTGTCTAAAACATTAGCCAGTACTGAGCAAAGTGTCAGTCAGTGCTTAGAACAGTGTCCTATTTCGGACCTTGCGGCGTATTTAGCACAAAGTCATGCCTTGAACCTTAGCCAGTTCTTCGCACAAAGAACTGACTTTGACTGTGGCCAGTACTTAGGTAGTACAATGTCCTGAATTGAAACTTGGCCAGCGCTTAACAGAACCTCTTGTCTTTGACCCAGGCCAGTGCTTAGCACAAATTATTACAGTGAGCCTTGTCCAGTAAATAGCACAAAGTTCTGCCTCTGACCTTTGCCAGTACTTAGCACAATGTCCTGCCTTTGATCTTGGCCAGTGCTAACACAAAGTCCTGCCTTTAACCTTGGCCAGCTGCTGTTGACCTTGCTAGTGCTAACACAAAGTCCTGTCTTTGACCTTGGCCAGTTCTTACACAAAGTCCTTCCTTTGACCTTGGCCAACTGCTGTTGACCTTGGCCAGTGCTAACACCAAGTCCTGCCTTTGACCTTGGCCAGCAGCTGTTGACCTTGGCAAGTGCTAACACAAAGTCCTGCCTTTGACCTTCTGCTGTTGACCTTGGCCAGTACTTACACAAAGTCCTGTCTTTGACCTTGGCCAGTGCTATCACAAAGCCCTGTCTTTGACCTTGGCCAGCTGCTATTGACCTTGGCCAGTGTTAACACGAAGTCCTATTTTGGAACTTGGCCAGCAGTCAGGCTTTCATCAGTACAATATCCAGCCATATTAATTGCAGGAAGTACATGGTATAAAATTCTGCCTTACACCACAGTACTTAGCACAAGAACCTCATCTCATCAAATAGCTAAAAAAAATGCATAAATCATACATAGCATTTTCTAATCATCTACCACTATTACATTGAAACAGACTTTTACATAACTGTAGCTCCTATACACAGACCATAATGCTCACTAAACCAAGACGAAAACAACGTTAGCTGTAGGGTTTATACCGAGGTACAATGTACAGCCAATGTAGGGAAATCAGCTTTTAGATGCCATGCAAGTAGTAGGCAGTTACTAAATTAGATGGAAATTCATAGTTTTCATGAATTTTCATTTCTTCTAATGTTTGTTTGTTTGAAAATACAAATGCTATGACAATTAAACCAAAATTTGTGTATGCAAAATATAGAAATGTTGTATTTTTATGGGATTGAGAATTAACCAGTATCTATATTTCACCTTTGCAATTAGTTTTCAATATATATATATATCAACATTGTAAAACACTAAGTAATATGCTTCACAAAATTAATATACAGCTATTTATTGACATTATGTGGAATCAAACTATTGTACAACTAACACCTATATTTTATATTGGTTTTTAATCAGGAACTAGTTCAATTAAGTGTAATTCACTTAAGGATCCCTGACCCACTGCACTGTATATATTATTTTTTATATACAGTAACCTCCTCTTAATTTCATGTTGGACATTTGGACCCGGACAATTCTGTTGACCAGGTAGCTAAGTCAGTTAGAGCAAGAGTACAAAAGTCTGACATTAATGATTCGAACCCCCACCTAGCAACGCTGAATTTTTACACTCAGAACACAGTTTTTGATTATGTTTTATTTATTTCTTCTTTATAATTTTTTCATAAACATTCTGCTATGACATGTATGGTTTTCTTTTCAGATTATTTTTTTAAAAGCTAAAGTCATTCAGGAAAAAATAAATTTCCAATATATAGATTAAATTCTTGACAGTGGAACAGGGACCCTTAACGAAGGATTAGTAATTAACAAAAGTTAAAGTTTCAATTCATGTAAAGTTTATTCTTACTTAGTAAATACAAACACAAAATGCATGTTGAGTTTTAAAATCATCACTATAAAACAAAAGCCATGAACATTTACACATTTGTAACGAGATAAGAATATATTTACAAATTTGAAAACATGTTTGAAAAAAAAAAAAATGTGAAAAGACTGACTTGTCATTCAAGTTATTAGAATCTGATTACAATGAACACTAAAATCTGTCCATAATCAATGTCAATTTCATAACATAAATTTGGTCACATTGGACTCATTCCTACCTGCAACACATGGAAACGTTTATGAACCAATTCCAAGATTTGATTCATAAACGAATTTTACAACAAATTTTATTCATTGCATTCTATATGATCAATATGCCTCCAAAAAACGTGTTCCTTCAAGATTTTTTAATGACAAATAATTTCATTCAAAAACGATTTTCAACCAAAACTTTTCCTGACCAATACAGATGAAATGAACGGAAAAATAAAATTGTGAAGTTACAAAAGAAACAGCTTGTTAACAGTTTTGTACTGTCATATTTGTAACATATACAATTATCAGCACCAAAAATGTGTTGCTAGGTAACAATGTGTACTTATATTAATTTAAGTTAAACTAATAAGCAAGTCCACAGCTAAATACTTCAAACATCAGGTCGGTTTCAAAAAAATGTATTCCTATAATTGATGATTTCTAAGAATAATTGATGATTTCTTAAGAAATGCTTTTCCCCCAGCAGGTCTTGTATGTAAAATTAAAAAAAATATCTTTCTTAACTTAACCAATTTTGAAGCTAATTATATAAACTTTTATCTTATTACCTCATGTCTTACTTTACCATCTAACTTGAAAACTAAAGTCTGTACAATGCCACTATTGTCATTGGTTCTTAGATTACAAACCGGAGCATGCAACTGTAAATTTAATCTTGATGGATCATACCAGAGGTGAAGGCTAAAAACGTTTGAGGCGCTTTTTACAGGCTTTACATCAAGAGGTGAAGGACGGACTCAAAGGTTAATAGCATACCATCTGTTTAACAAAGGTTAATAGCATATAACTTAAAGATAATCAGGAAATATTCAATAAGCATGTGGCATTGACTCTCCTTTACAGTGAATATAACTATACCCAATAATGGAACTCAGTACCTGAACAAACCATTCTCAAAAAGTAATGCCCACAAATAGACTAAATTCTACAAAACACATCCGACATAATTTCTACGTGTTGTTTCTTATCAAAATACTAAATTCTATACAAAACACTGGAGTATTTAACAGATCTTGTATTGCCTGAAGTAATAAATCATCAATTTTGCTCAAATTTCAAATTTTTTTTGCATCAGAAAATTTGGAAATATTAAATAATTTTTGGTTTCCAAACATAAAAGTCCATTGTACATTAATTTTCTGGTATATCAGAATGTCGGAGCCAATCATAAAAGTGATTATACCAGATGATTTTCAACAAATTCATTATCATCATTATCCTGCAATAAGCTAAGTGGCCAACAAATGATCTCTAGCTAGGGTTATCACAGGACAGTGAAATAACATTTGTTGGCTTTTCTACTGAACTGCAACAGATACAGGTACAGGTAGGTTTATTATCCGACATTTACTGCCACATAGATACGGTCATTCACATGATGTCTTATAAAGAATGAAACAAGGAAACTTCTTTATTTAAGTCTTCTGTAGTTTGATGCATGTTAATTGGTAGGTTGGAAAAATATTAACCCTTTCACCACCGTAGATCATGATGGACTCATCCATATCAATGCATTGAAGGGTCTACTAAAGTTACATAGGGGTGAAAGGGTTAACACTACAACACCGAATGGGACATTGGTTCATAGGACAATTTCCAATATTTTCATCTTGACCAGTTATACTGAATCATCACAAAAGGTACCTACACACCAGACTGGACACAGGACATTGTATTCAGCACTGTTCAACTCTTGAAATGTTTTTCTTTTCACAAAATGTTAAGGATATATGCTATTTTTACTGGGACTGAATCTCCTCTTCCAAAAGAGTTCCGAACTCAACAAAAAACCTTAAAATAATCTTATAGTAGTAATTTGGATTTTGTTAATTAATTGACGACACATGTCATGTGTATACAAAGCATATACACAGATTTTTTCCTGCTATTAAACTGAGTGTTCAAGGGAGATAAATAATTTAATTGAGGGGAGATAACTTAATTTACAGATATGTCTTGGGTAGCATGTATCCTTAGTGTTTCGTTTTACAATTGCTTACAAAAGCACTTACTCGCTGAGGTTCAACTCCATGAATTGGTCCAAATTGTGTAAGTTTCCTAACTACGATATATATTGCATATGAATTAAAACTGTTATGAAAATCACAAAAAAAAGAAAAATCATTACACATGGCCATGCATGTAGGCGTATTGACGCAGAAAAATGGATTTACACACAAAAACAGCCTATCTGTCTTCGTCTTCAAATTTGTTTATCTCTTTTCATACACAAACACCGGAATAATTCATACATCACCTTTTTGTAAAGCTTAAGCACTTCTACCTATAAATTGTCCATGACCCATCTCATATCATGTTTAAAGAAACTACACATGTGTTATGATTAATCATGGATTAACAGATTTGTTCTAATTATTACTTATGTTTTAAAAGATAATTTTTTCATGTAAATTTGAATTAATCAATATTGTTTGTGAACAATTTCTTATGTGTAAAACATGCATGTTGAGTGAAATATGATTTAATCTCCTCAAAAACAAGTACAAAAATGACAATCAGCAAAATCTAGACAGTGTGCATGGAATATAAGTGATCTACAGTCATTAAAACTAAAAAGCCTACATAATTGGACAGTTCTGTTAAAACACCTGGGAATAGCAATCATCTTTGGCATTTAATATTTTTTCCTTCCAGAATTTAGTCATGCAGTCTGAATTTATAAATTTACAATGAATTTTGTAAGTGAAATATGCCAACCTTACTCTTGTATATATGTAGATGTTTACATCATTTATCCTACATACTAAAGGTAGGCTTTACAGTGAACTTTTACACCAACTTACGCCCACACAGTGGGGAACTCACCTGTCAAATAAATCCGTGAATAATCAAATCTCATACATTAACCAAGTGAACATTTTTTTTTACCAACAATTAAAATTTATCTGATATAAACAAACCTGTCAAAGAAAAGCAGTTATTTCCTTGCATAACGTGTACCTCCTTTTGGCTTGCACTCATTAATAGTTTGAGTTGATCCTAGTTCAGTGAAAAAACAGGTAGTATTGTATAATGTGATCCCTACAGTGTAGGCTCAGTAGATTCTGGTTTTCAGACACATTCGTCATTTATTTTACTGATAGATGCCACAAAGTTGTCCAACACATCGAACTGACACACACAGGACTAGGTAGCCAATCATAACGGTTACCAGTTTGGATCAGTCAAACCCAGGACTAACCCTAGCGGTTACAAGTTATTACCCAGGACTACCCCGACAGGTTACCAGTTATTACCCAGGACTAACCCGACAGGTTACAAGATATAACCCTGGAATAACCCTACTGGTTACCAGTTTCGATCAGTCAAACCCAGGACTAACCCTACAGGTTACCAGTTTGGATCAGTCAAACCCAGGACTAACCCGACAGGTTACAAGATATTACCCTGGAATAACCCTACAGATTACCAGTTTGGATCAGTCAAACCCAAGACTAACCCTAGTGGTTACCAGTTATTACCCAGGACTAACCCTAGTGGTTACCAGTTATTACCCAGGACTAACCCTAGTGGTACCCAGTTATTACCCAGGACCAACCCAACAGGTTACAAGATATTACCCTGGAATAACCCTACAGGTTACCAGTTTGGATCAGTCAAACCCAGGACTAACCCTAGCGGTTACCAGTTATTAACCAGGACTAACCTGACAGGTTACCAGTCGGGAACAGTCATCACCCATGACTAACCCTAGTGGTTACCAGACATTAACCTGGAATAACCCTACATGTAACCAGATGGGAACAGTCATTACCCAGGACTAACCCTACTAGTTACCAGACATTACCCTGGAATAACCCTACAGGTAACCAGATGGGAACAGTCATTACCGAGGACTAACTCTACTGGTTACCTGTCATTACCCTGGAATAACCCTACAGGTTTCCAGTCGGGAACAGTCGTTACCCAGGACTTACTTTACCCGCTATGGATCTGTTTGACAAACACCATCTGTCTAACAGACACCATTATCATACAGTACATATATACATGTCTGACAGACACCATCTGTTCTACAGATCCATCTTTACCAACAAACACTACTGGCATACACACACCCATTTAAAAGATACCATTTGTCATATACATCTGTCCAACAGAACCCATCTGTCCAACAGAACCCATATACCCAACACAATTTGACCTCTGACACCAAGCTACCAAAACAGCATTTCCTTACTTAGATGGTGATAGTTAAATATTAATGATTTTACATGACTTGATAGATATTACAGCTTTGCTTTTCTACTTACAGATTTTCAGTTTGAAATCTTACGATCCTCAGAGAAGGTGTAAATACAACTAATTATATCACTTAATATTAATAGTTCATAAAAAATCTGAAAACTACAGGATGTATACATCATGGATATATATACACTTATCAAAGTAAAATTAAAACTATCATGACAACTGTTCGTCGATCATGTACATCCATAAAACTACATCTCTTCTCTGAAAAATCAGCCAATGAAAAGCCTTGTATCTTCAATGTAATGGCTTCTCCACTTCAGTAATGTCCAATAGCAGGTTGATTTGTAAGAAATGCTGTGCTTGGCCAGTCACACACATACATCATCCATTAGGATCCCTCGTCCTGCGAATTTAATCGTGGCATTTTGGTTGAAGGAGAATTTGTAGATTCAGAAGAATCTAGACTGGCTTTACTAGAATCCCTTTTCTTACTGACATTCTGTAACGAAAACAAAAATCCCAAAATAATACACGATGTTTGTAATAAAAGAATTAGAAAAGCTTGATGTGTAAAAATTAAACATCCTGTACTGTTCTGTTGGGAGGCACGGTAGTCTAGTGGTAGGACACCGGGCTCGAGACCGAAGGGTTGCAGGTTCATGTCATGCCACAGCACTGTGTTGTATCTTAGAGCAAGATACTTTACTACGCTTGTTCCAGTCTACTCAGCGGTAAATGAGTATGTGGTTGGGCAGTGCTAGAATTATTGAATGTGAGCGTTGAAATGGCAGCACCAGCTGTATGCTCCCCAATGAGTTGAGAAAGATATTGGCTGGTTGCAAAGGCCCTATAACCATGCCACAGATGATAATTTGTGAACCGCTTTGAGACGACCTACGAACTAGGTTGTGATAAAGCGGTATATGAGAACCTTGAATTATTATTCGGCCATTATTATTATTACTGAAAACTTTTGAACATTCTTTATCAAAAACCGTCTCAACATAGATCATATAATTAATATGAAGATCCTGTACCAAAAATGTGAGAACCTCAGGCATGTATACATTACTTACATTTATACAGTCTGACAGCTGTAAGTTTCACTTACCTTTTTATCCCACTGTTGATGGAGATACCGTAACAGAATGTTGGTCTTTTCTGTGGTAATTACTGGAAGCAAACATCAACAGCAGTCTATTAATTTATCGGGTTTTGTTATTACTATTGTTACTACTTTCTTATATCATTGCTTGATATTAGAAAAAATAAAGAGTTGTTTTTTGTTTTGTGATTTTTTTTATTGAATATAACATTGATTTAAGGGTACAAACAAAATGTATGCATATATGACCTGTACCATACTTATCAAACAATAAAACATCACTTATGAATGGCTTGGACAAGGTTATTTGATGACACTTGATAAGTTATATAAGAACTTAAAGCATGTCATTCAATTATCAGACAATATGATTCAGGCATCAAAACTTAGGTTCAAGGGAAATAACTCTATACACAAATTAACGCTTTCACCACTGTAGACCATAATGGACTCATCCATATCAATGCACGGTAGAGTCTACTAAAGTCACACAGGGGTGAAAGGGTTAAGGATCCCTGTACCATTGCCCCAAGTTGTAACAATGCATTAGATACTATGTTTCCCAGCAAGACAATAACTTTAATGAATCAATTCTGAAAAGAAAATCATATTTTGCAGGACTTGTATGGCTCATTGACGATAAAATAGGCGAAATATTATCAACAACAGTATCCTGAATGCAACAAATAATTAAGTTTGGCTAGACCCAGATTCAAACCTTGGATTTAAGATACCTGTAGTATGATTTTTGTTCTAACTAACTGAGCTACATGGTCTACAGAAGTGGCCCAACTGTGCTCCAGTTATATCCAAAATGACATTAAGGGGAGGTTACTGTATAAAGAAACAAGAGTACCGCGGGGCGGAACAATATACACCCGTCGAATGCCATATAGTGTTATATACTTTCATACATTGAAATAAGATCTGCATCATTCTAAGAGTGGTTAGCTGACATGCTATAAAAAATGTAGGAGAAAATCTCCAGACAAAATAATCAAAAACTGAAATGAACAAAGGGCAAGAACTTTTGCAAAAATTATTTAATCAAAGTTCTTTTAAGGGAGACACAACTTCATATCATGATTATAATGTATACCAAGTTTCAAAGAGATCCGTTGAAAAATGTAGGAGGAGATTGCCGGACAAAAAACAAATACTGAAATAAACAAAGGGCAATTACTTTTGCAAAAATTGTGGAATCAAAATTCTTTTCAAGGAAACACAACAACATATCATGATTTTTTAGCCTACTAAGTTTCAAACAAATCCGTCAAAAAATGTAGGAGGAGATCTCCGGACAACAAAATCAAATACTGAAATGAACAAAGGGCAATAACTTTTGGAAAAATTGCTGAATCAAAATTCTTTTCAGGAAGACACAACTTCATAACATGATTATAATTTATACCAAGTTTTAAAGAGATCGGTCGATAAAATGTTTGCCGGACAAACGAAAGTTTACGCCTGACAGACGGACGGACAACCCCATACCATAATATTTCCGTAAAATTTGACGAGCGTATAAAAACAGTGCTATGGAACAGGGATCCTTAAAGTCCATAGATGTACAGTCAGTTGTAATAATTGAGTAAAAATCTGAATCACATACACTAGATAAACAAAGACTTCAGCTAAGCTGTAAATATGATGGCATTGAAGACATTGCCAGTTATCAATCATCTCATCGTGCACAACATTTTTTAGCTATACAAAGACATTGTGATACAATATCCAATTACTCCTTACTGAAGATTATATAGGAAGAAACAGGATGCTATATTCAAGTACTTTTGATACTTTTAACAATTCAAGATTTTCAAATGTCTTATTATTATAATTAAATTTCGAAAAATACCCTGCTTTGGTTTCTTTGTTCTTTAGTTCACACACAACTAAATCAAAATGACAGAAAAGTATTGTGTAGAAGTCAGATTTGCAGGAAAACAATGTCAGATCTCGAGGTTTGTCCCTAGTTCAAAAAGAAACAAATCTGGTCTGATTAGTCAAACCATTTGAAACATTACAATAAAACCAAATCAGTCATGTTTTTCAACAAGAAAAAAGTGTTTTTACTTTGGAAAGGAATTTGTTGTAGGTTGTGTTGGAACCTCCAAGCAATAGCATAAAATTCCCTTATTTTAACAATAAGACTTGAAAAATCTTGCATAGCTGATGCACACACATTTTCAGTTAAGTCTGTTACTTATTCTTGCTCTTAATAAATGGACATGCTGCCCACAATTTTCATTGTATAACCAACTGTTGCACGAGGAGATTACCAACTATGTTAGACTTTAAAAGTAAACCAATGTACTTACTTTTGACTTTGTATTACGTCTTTAAATGTCCTTACCTTGTTCTGATGGAAAATCTTTTGTGGAAATATACACTCCAGGTTTCCGAACCTGTGAACAAAGAAATTAAATGAAAAATAAATGTGATTGGTTTCTTTCAATTTTATGTCAGAAACACTTTGTACCAATATGTAAAATCCATTCAATGTTTTATACAAAATATTTGATATTTTAATGTATGATAATTATGTATACATATACATATAAAAATTAATGATAGGATATACACTGTACGCCTTTCTTTTTCTACTTTTATCATCTTAATTTCTTTGCAAAATATAAGAATACTTCACTTTAACTCATTCACCCCTGAAATTTCATTATGAACTATTCCAACCTTTGAACTGGAAGAGTTCAAACGTGTCTTCAGGGGTGAGTGAGTTAAAAACACTTTGGAACCAATGGATACTGCGTAAATTTTAAAATTGACATAGATCTCATCTATATTTTTACCAATAATAACCAATTACATACTACTGAATACTCACAGTATTTATCCACAAAGAAGCCTTGGGGGGGGGGTGGTCTTACCTGACACAGGCTTATATCTATTGCAGTATAAATAATGTGTGCCTGTCAAACAATTGTACTTACTCCAACTTTACAGCTGGAATCTGTGTGGAACTTGGTAAAATTGCTCTCATTGTGGGACGGCAAACCTTTCAGGAAGTCAGCCTGAAATAAAGAATCTACATTGTATCTCGACCATAAGTCCAACAGCTGGCAATAAAGATCGGGAGTTAATTGGAGAGCTATATAGCTAACTCAACAATGCCTGGTAGTTACCAGGATACAAGTTTTTGGAGCAAAAATAAAGTTATTTTGCAATCACAAGGTACATTAGAGGTCAGGAGATCTAGGGGTATGCATATTTCCAGTGAGAAGTTGAAACAGAAATAACATGTATCTCTGTCCGAGTGGGTAAATGGTATTTTTTTATGAAAATGGACTGACAAGTGCCTATACTTATTGGACACAGAGCAGCATATACACACACAATGTATATACAATATACCACTAGTGTTAAACACTTACTGTTTTGATATACGTCACAGCATTAACTAAAAGTTTGATATTCTCCCTGTTCCATGACCTCATGATCCCAACCTAGTTTAATTGCCAGCTATATCTTAATGAAACTTTTTTTTACCAATGTAGCTTAGAGCTCTCATTAATGATATTAATGATATTAATGATATTAATGATACTATAGTCGTCAAATTGGTGACATACACTCGTTGTGTACAGGCAGGTAACATTGTTACTGTGTACAGGTAAGTTCTAGATCTAAACTTGGGCTAAAACAATAGAAAATATTGCACTGCCATCTGATTGACTGTGAGTTGATAACCAAACCATAACAAAATCGTAAATAGAACCACAACATCGTGTACCTATCCAACAAAGATAAGTATTTTCTGTGGAAACTGCATATAGAATGAACGACCAACAACCCCCCCCACTGAAAAACAGATTATAATAAACATGTACAGTACTTGAGCACTGGCAAATCTGTGTTAAAAGGCAGACTTGGCTATTTAATCAAATATTACCTTATTTATATATATAAGACCAATATGTAAACAAACAAGTCAGAACTGGTCAAGATTATCTCATGCACATACAAATAAATACTCAATGAAGAGAGTTTGAATTCCATAACTGATTTTTCTATTTCCATTTTATTTTATTTTTTATAAACATATACCCCTTATAAGTAACAATTATAGTGTGTGTCTATTTATACGATATATGAATGCATGTATTCCTTACGATAAACAATCATGTGATACAGATTAGGGCCCCAGGTTTTCTTTTAATGGAATGCTCCCATGTATATATATACATATTTCTGGTGTCGAAAGGGAGACATGTGGTGTGGACTTGTTATTAGAGATTAATAATATTCTTGTCAAACCATCATAGACGGATGCAAGTACCAAATTCTACAAAATCACTGGAAATTCATCATGAGTTGCTAACTAATAAAAGTCTTTCATTTTTATGTTGTTCATTAGGTGTGTATAGATAGTTACAACCAATCACATGACTTGTTTGTTTATATTTATACTATAAATGTGACGACATTGCATGTATTTTAATTTACTAACATATAGCTTGCCAAATATGTGTCCGTATATAACAGTTAGTCACATTTGGTGTTTAAATACTTGATAAACATTGATCTATCTATCTATATGTTATACTCCACAGAGACAAAAAAAAATGGCTTTAATGCTGAGGGGACATGTTATATTGTTAGTTTACGCAGTAAAAATACTGATTATACATATGCAATAAGACAACCTCCGTGTAGTACAACAATATTCAGTCTTATGGTCAAAGCGGCCCGTCGGAAAGATATTCTCTACAAATAAATCCACAAAATTGGAATCTTTTGCGTTCATCAAAATTCAAACACAAATTATCTGTGGCCATATGCATTTGAAATTTTTGTGTTTTTATTTCCGAGTGGTCATGACTAAAATGGCGCTTCTCACTTTTGATGGATAATGTTTTCGCAACAATTTTGATACTCTTGCAGAGAACATGTCTGGTTGGCAGAGGACATGTCTGGTAGAAACATTTGTCGGGAATGGCAGATGGATCAAACTGAGAATTTGATTCAGATATTTCATTGTTTTCACATTCATAAATCTACATTTCAAAATAACAACTTGCAACACTAAATTACCATTCTTGTTAAAATATCGTTCTTATGTGCAGTCAATTAGGCCTATGCAAAGCAGAGTATAAAGTTCAACATTTAGGCGGCCTAAAGAATATTCTTCCAACTGTCACTTACCATCTTCACTGTCCGCCATTAAAATATGCACATAATTTTAGGGACGAAAATACGGAACAAAATATCCGGAATTAAACCAAAAAACGAAACACTTTATATGATAGTCTTTTTAACAGTATTGATGTGTTCTTTTTCATATCATCTGACGTAAAATCTTAAAGGAACAGAAAATAAAATGTTATCACCTTTTTTACTTTACATTATCAGCTAAAGTGAATTCAGTTTTTCGAAGTATAAATTGAAATATAAGATAGTAGATTGGCTACCAGAATCTATGTATTCATATAAAAAATGTTGATTGTTTGTTTAGGTCCTAGGTTAATATCTAAGTCCATGGTGTATGAATTTGACGAAATTAGTAAATTTCCTCAAAAATATACCGGAAATATCTTACCGCTTCTTGATATTAGTATGAACGTTTATATTCCTAAAATCCAACATGTCGGACGAAGATTGCATGTATGATGATGATGAAGAGTATGATTTGGTAGGTTTAATGCCAGCATAAAAACATTTTGGACAAGCACTCGTAAAAAACTTTGTATTCCCTTTCTTCTTAATATGCACAATATGAAACTGACATTCTCCAGAACTCAATTGTTGTCAGTCTTAGATGTTGTTTTCATTTTGATATGCGCACCGGCTTTTCAGTTACAAAATATAGGCCTAGTTGCAAATTATTGATGTGATATCGGTTGCCATCTGTGTTAGGGTTTATAAGAGTTTAACTTCTACTTTATATATATATATATATAACACTTTTCTTCTCTTTATCTATATTTGCAATTTTGCAATTTGTAGTTTAACACCCCGCGAGTCTTCAGGATCTACTCCTCCCCCCCCCNCATCAATGTACCTTTTGGAATCCAGCGCCTGGATCTCAACTAAGATATTGAAATATGATTCAATATGTTATATTCTTTTATGTGTTTTTAATATTTTTTTGTATATGTCGGATATTATTAAATGTATTATGTAATATTTTCTTTATTTTAAGGAATACTCAGAAGAAAGTAATTCTGAACCAGATGTTGACTTGGAAAACCAATATTACAATTCTAAGGCACTAAAGGAGGATGACCCAAGAGCTGCATTGGAGAGCTTCCAAAAGGTTTTACTATAACAGACGTGAACAAAATATTACAACAAGAAGCAAATAGAGCCTCCCCAATGAGTGGTGGTTGGCCATCATGATTATCTAACTTGAGTTTGTTAAAAAATATATATATATAAAGACACGGTTATTACCGAGTGTCTTTTACAATTTGAAGAGTAACTAACAAGAGTTACATATATATAGATAAACTTGATTATCAACCATCACCACACGTTTGGGGACCTTTACCTCATGCAACATTCAGATACGATTTCTTGAAAACCATGTGTTTCTCTTCGCGTGACATTTTTATTTTTTTTGCGACCTGGGAAATATAATGGCCCTGAAATAGATGTCACAATGGAAGATGACATCGTAAAGCATTGTTAATTGACGTCATATTTCGGAGATTGACCAATGAAATCACGTCCATGGTGTTACCCACTAGTAGGTATCCAAAAATGTTGACCAACTTCTTACAGTTTATTCAATGAGATGGGAGTGAGGATACCTATTGTGGTTGTGGGAGAAATATCTAGGATATTGATCCTCCTAAATCTTGCTTAGAGAAGTTAGTCAGATATTAAATATAGAATTCATATAAGCATGTGCAACAGAACCAAAGACAAAGGATCAGACATCCTGGACCATACAGTGTTTGAAATTAACACATGTACAATCAAAAATACACTGTAGAGCAAATAATACATTATTGCATTGATAGAACTTTTCAATTGTCTCAAAATTAAAATTAAAATTCGCTAGTGTTTAATTCAAAACTTTTTTTTCAGGTGTTGGAGTTGGAAGGCAAGGATAAAGGAGAATGGGGTTTCAAAGCTCTCAAACAGATGATCAAAATCAATTTCAAACTGGTAAATTGTTTCAATTAAACTGATATAAAGTGTATTTTGCATGCCACTTTCAAATTTCACAATATTACAAGAAACTTCCATAGTTTTATCACTGAAAATCAATTTCCAGATATAAACTTTTATGATTAAGCCATTCTTGTATAAAAACTATGCATTTAAGTTACCCGACATTTCAGGTATTCAAAATCCTTTTATGCGTTCTGGGTACATGTATTTGTTCATAACATATACTTGTATATTCAATCATGAGTCTACAATTTAAATGGGTGTCGGACGATTCTCCCCAAAACCGTAACGCCCCAAGGTGTTACGCCCCAATCAGTTTGCCCCAAAAATCCATAACGCCCCAACTATTTCGCCCCAAAAAACTACAACACCCCGAAAAATTCTCCTTAGAATTAACTTCTTTGACAAATTTTATAGTAAAATATCTATTTTTTATTTAATATTCTTAAAGATAGACATTCAAAAAATAATATCTGTTGCAATTCGTTTGATATTTGGGACATGATTTTGTGTTGTAACGTTCAATCTATATTGTAACATATCTATAGTATCTATGTTATGCAGGATTTGTTTATTTTAGATAATATATATATGTATAAAATAAGTAGATTATATACACGCGTGCGGTAGATCGATATCATAACATATCTATAGTATCTATGTTAGGCAGGATTTGTTTATTTGTAGATACTATATTTATATATATATATATATGTATAAAATAATTAGATTATATACAAGCGTGCGGTGGATCTATATTGTAACATATCTTATAGTATCTATGTTAGGCAGGATTTGTTTATTTGTAGATAATATATATATGTATAAAATAATTAGATTATATACACGCGTGACGTAGATCAATATCGTAAAATATCTATGTTAGGCAGGATTTGTTTATTTTATATAATATATATATATATGTGTGTGTGAAATAATTAGATTTTATAGTTAAATTACACAAGCGTGCGGTAGATTGGAAACAAAAAATGTTATGCGTGTTGCAAGAGAGAGAATGTGTACTTATATTTGTTTATGTATATATGTCTATATGTAGAAAAAATAAGATTAACGACCGACTAAAAAACTAGCTGCTTTCACCATTCACAGGGCTCTTCAGGTTTTTCAAAAGAACAACTTCATGACATCACAAAGGGATGTCATCACACTACAATAGTAACGTGATGTCACAAAGTACCCAAGATCGGTGGACAATTTAGCGTAAAATTTTACTGTGGCCTGTTGAGACTTAGTTTTAATATTTTAATTAATTGGTCTTCTTTCTTTTATCTTTAAATAGTGTCTGATGAAAAAAGTTGATACAAAGGTAATTCATTAAATTTATTTTCAGCACATTCATGAATATGTTTGTTAACATATAGATTTTGTAATGTACAGTCATGCGTGTTCTGAGTCCATTACCGGTTTGACCGATGTAAGAAATCACCACATTTAGAACAAACTATTGCATAAATTACATGTTGATTTACAATTCATATTTTCCTTCACAGTAAATTTCAAACCATTATTGAAAATTAAAATATTACATTCGATAATCATAGGACATGTAGCGCACATCTTGGTGTCTTACATTTGGATACTTCTCTTGTTACACAAGAATTATCAAACGTGGAACATGTCAACATACGTTTCAAGTTCTTAGATTGTCGTCTACAATGTAAAATAGCATGTTTATTAAAAATGTTTCTCTTACGCCTGCTACTTTGCTTTAACTCTTCTTCTTAGGGAACAATAAAAAGCTAGTCTAATGAGGGTGAGTCTAATTGGAAAGGGGAGAAGAGGTTATCAATTTGTGAGAACTTTATGTTCCAATCATAAATACCTCTCGATGCGTAACGGCTCAAAATTCATGCGTAGCGGTAAAATGGTGATGTGTAACGGCTCAAAATTCATGCGTACGGTACCATCACGCTAAAACGGCCTAGGGAGAACACTGCTTCACATTTGTTCTTTATCAAAGGAAGCATATTAAAATTCCGTGGATTGAAAGTAGAAACAAAAGCAACTAACTTCGATTCATCTTTTAGTTTTTGTAGACGGGAAGTAAACGGTCCCATTTCAATAGCTTTCTGTTTGCCATGTTCTATTATCTCAGTAGGATAACATTGATCTTTAAGGTATTGCTTTAGTTGACTGAGGCTAGCAATTTGAGCTTGTTTGGTCACTGACGATAGTGACAATCCGTGAGGCAAGATTAAAAGGAATATTAACCTTAGTGTGTTTACTGTGGTTAGAGTAAAACTTTAGATAATTATGTGCATCTGTAGCCTTACAATATAAATCCGTTGTAATCTTATTTGAATCTAGTTGAACTAAAACATCTAAGAAAGGTAAAGACGTTTCGCTACACTCCATCGTATAACAAATAGAAGGATGTAAAGAATTCAATAGGTTTTGAAATTCATTTAAATCCTTATCAGGGGCGTAACAGATTTTGGGGCAAAATCAGCTTAAAATTGGGGCGATGTGAAAAAAGTAGGGGCGAAATGGTCTGGGGCGTAACGGGTTTGGGGCGAAACGTCGGTAATTCAATTTAAATATATATTGAGATAGAAAGAAATGGCAAAAATGTTTTAATCATTATTTGTAAATCTTGTATTTTCAGAGTAATTATGAACAGATGATGGTGAGATATAAGATGCTTTTGACTTATATTAAGTCAGCAGTAACAAGGAACTATTCAGAAAAGTCCATCAACTCCATCCTAGATTATATCTCCACATCAAAACAGGTATGTTCGTAACCTCCAATTCATCTCATTTTATTCGTTTTCACGTTATTGAAAATAAACAAAACATCCATCAATTCTCATAATACATCTTATATCATTTTATTCTTAACTGACAAGTTCTTTCCCCAAAAAATCAAAGTTTTACTTTGTAAGCAAACAATGTGCTATCAAATGCACATTGTGTTCAGTGATGGGAAACTCTGAAGATGTGGTCAGAAATGAAAAACTGTCGACATGTTTGATACGATATATAGAATTATAAAATTTTGATGTATATGTAGAGGAACTGGACTGAGTCGATTGCCAGCGACCAGGTAGCTCAATTGGTGAAAGCAACCGTCTAGAGTTTAGAGGGTCCCGGGTTCGAAACCTGGTCTAGCCGTGCTTTTTTCCGCTTCCACTACATATATATATATATATTTCCAAACTCCAGAATCTGATTGAAATAAAAAGTTACAGATTTCCACTAAAGCTGATGCAATTTTCATTTTTGCTTGTAGATGGAACTCCTGCAGGACTTTTATGAAACAACACTGGATGCCTTGAAGGAAGCCAAAAACGAAAGGTTATGGTTCAAAACCAACACAAAGTTGGGCAAGCTGTACTTCGATAGGGGAGATTATTCCAAACTCCAAAGAATTCTGAAACAGTTACACATATCTTGTCAGGTAAGGTTGTAGTCACATGTTCACTGTATCTGGTCTGATGATGCTGAATATACTAGTGAATAAGGCTTATATATGGCAGTATCACTAGTCATGATCTGTAAAAGTCTTTTTTGTTTATCTGGAAATGTTAGTTTCAGACAAACGTTTGGGAATCGACGTGTCAGAATTAATTATCTTTTTTTTTAAAGTTCCTTTTACCAGAGTACAATAGCTGTGGTTTGTTTACTAGACTGACGAAGGCGAGGATGACCTGAAGAAAGGAACACAGCTGTTAGAAATCTACGCCTTAGAAATCCAAATGTACACGGCACAGAAGAACAACAAAAAATTAAAGGTATAGGTTCTAATTGTAAGAACATGGATTACTAATTTCTGTTTTGGAGAAATAACTTTATATTTTTTGACAAGTGATTGAAGTTTTAGTATGTATTGTCCTCTGTTTTTGAAATTTTGTTGATACTGAAATATTGTATGTGGTATGGTATTATAGGGTATAATTAGCCATTTAATGTAATCAGTTTCTTTAATTTGTGTCTAGTTTTGCACAAGATTAAATCTAATAGGAACCAATATATTAATTCATTTTATTAAATTGTTTATATACTATCGACTTATTATTTGTTGGAGAGAATAATTTTTGGGATACAGGTATTAAATCTTTAATTTGTATTTATTTTTCACACTTTAAATTAAATCACAAGTGATGAATTATAATGCGTACATATAAAATGACTTAGGTGTCTTTACTTAAAGGTTTCTGTATCGATAAAATTTTAACATACTGATATTCCGTCTTTGTGTATTGCAGAGTTATCCTCTCTTGGGAGCAAGTATTGATTGTTACGTCATTGGTTTGTGTGAGAAAATTACGTCATTTTCTCAAAAATTGATGACGTTATTCTCACAAACAAGTGACGTAACAATCAATACCTGCTCCCAAGAGAAGATAACTCTGCAATACGCAAAGACGGAATAGCAATGTACAATTAATGTTGCATGTCTTTTGTCAACAAATTTCAGAATAATAAGATACAAATATATGTTTTTGACAGTTTCTACATTAGATCTGTTGACAAATGCTGAGCCCTTGTTTTCACTTGTTTGTTCCTCAGGCTTTGTATGAGCAGTCTCTCCATATCAAGTCGGCCATTCCTCACCCGCTCATCATGGGCGTCATTAGGGGTAAGTTGCCAAGGGTCTATGTTGTAGGTGTTAAAATCAATAGTTCAATACATAATTCATGTTCAACATTTGGTTTGTAACATTTTATACATTATTTTTTTGAAACTTTAAATTACTGTAAAATCATCAATTTTCGTGGGACATTAAATTTCGTCTATTTCATGGAGAACAAAAATCCAAGAAATTAAATCCCCACAAAAACATAAATTTGGTATGATATAGATAGGGGAAAATCAGAAATCAGCGAAATATAAAGTCCTTGAAACAGGCCAGTATATGAAAACCACGAAAATTTTAACCCCACGAAAATAAATGATTCTCCTACAGTGTACACTTACATATATGTGAGGACATTTTTGAAATAATGGAGATTCACACATCATTATGTACTATCACCAGAAATAAAATAAAAATAAAATTAAAAAAAAAAGTTTTATTAAAACTTCATACACTTGTGCATCATCACTTTTGAAGTATTACGTATGTCCATTGGCACTTCTTTACATGTGTATATGATCACTAGATGGAAGCAGTTTATCGTACTATTAACAAAGCTAGCACTCAATAAATATGTAGATGACAAAGGTTGTTTTTTTCTGAGTCACTGAACACAACACCAGTCCCTTCATCATGGTAATAATTCCACATCAACTGTCCAGGCACTTTTGCTTTTCAATAAAATTCAGGTCTCAAGAGTATGTATGTTGGCTGAAAAAATAATATGCATACCTTAGCTTATGCAAGGCATAAAGAGTTACTTCAAGCTATAAGTGTTTGTGATTACAGGGGTGTGACACAGAACCCCACCCAACGGTCCATTTATGTGTATTATGTTGATACATAACCCATATATACCGACCGCGCCACATGGAATAGGAATCTGTGCCATGCACCTGTTATTGTGATGCTGGTATGAAGTGCTGTAATGAATGGACTTTTTCTCTGCTGTGGTGTTTGTTATTACCTGAGTGTGTTGTCTATCTACTATTTCAGAATGTGGTGGTAAAATGCATTTACGAGAGGGAGAATACGAGAAAGCACACACAGACTTTTTTGAAGCATTCAAGAATTACGATGAGTCAGGTAGCCCCAGGTGAGTAACAAGTGTCTGGTGTTTCTGCCATTTAGTTTTCAAATCTTGTAAAAGGAGACCAACTGGGATGATTAAAATCAATCACAGGAATACTGAGTTAAATAGATAAGAAATGTGCATAGTTTCACAACTGAATTTTTAAAGAAAATGAATGTGAAGCAAAAGTAAGATAGTCTTATTTTGCTAGTTAGTTTTGAAGTACTGTTCTTACAATGATCTCATTCCTCTCTGATGCTTACCTTGCCAATTTCCTTTGTCACAGGTTTTATCAGGAGTAGTGTAAATTGACTAAGTTCCTGTAACATTAACCCTTGTGATCTGTAATGTGAATCAAGGTCATTTACAATTCTATGTTACATGTCAGACTTGAAGCGAAATATTTTGGAGGGAAAAGCAGTAGAACTGCAGTCAGAAAAGTAACAGATGTACAATATTGTCAATGATGTCATTTATCTGTCAAAAATGTTGAAACATTCTGTCGTTATCAAATTGTTCTTAACCTCCCTGAGCATATGCAGTTTTACAGGTAGTTGTTATATTGTAGTTCCTGTATCTCTGTATTATGTCACCAGAAGTGCTGTAATTTACTGTCCACAGGCGGACAACCTGTCTGAAGTACCTGGTGTTGGCCAACATGTTGATGAAGTCTGGTATCAACCCATTTGACTCCCAGGAGACCAAGCCCTACAAAAATGACCCGGAGATCCTCGCGATGACTAACCTAGTCAGGTAAATAATTGTCAGGTTGGATCACATAATCTGGATATTCGCCAATTTTTAATTGTTACTCATACTGAACTTACTGAAGATACAAGTATTTCATGAACTGTTATTAAATTACTATAAACTCTGACAACCTTTTCCTATAAATCTTCTGAGAATTGTATTTTTAGCTCACCTGGCCCGAAGGTGTCATATGTTTAAATCTTTTAATGGGTTCTTATGAATCAAACACTGATATTCTGCCTGTAGCTGTATTTAAGTTCACTTTTAAGATTACAAGTGTGAGACTAATACCAGGTGAGCAATGCAGGCCCATTGGGCCTCTTGTTTTTTTACTTTGCAGAATGAAATACTATCTCATTGATTCTCTGAATTGTAACCATAAAAAAGTGTTTTAAACTCACCATAACCTGAAAATAATCATACTTGTATCTTTGTAATAGTGAAATTTGGTTTTAAAAGAATGCAGATTTATAATATTATATAAAAAATAAATTATGACATAAATTATGACATTTGTTGTTAATCATATTAAATGCAGTGATTATGTGGAGTTTTAATAATGTTTTTTTTTTCAGTGCTTATCAAAACAATGATATCAATGAATTTGAGAAAATATTGAAAACAAACAGACGGAACATTATGGAAGATCGTTTCATCAGAGAACATATAGAAGGTTAGTGAAAATTGACGTGAAATATGTTGAAATTCATAGGTGTACAAATAATATCTAACACATAAAGCTACGAATTGAAAGCTTTTGAAGTCATGCTTGTTATAAAACATTCTCAGGACTTCATTTGTTTTAGCTTATAATTTTAATTTATTTTTTAATTTTGATTTTTACTCCTTCTTGACTCATTACAGAGATTGTAATGTTACATTGATGTTTGACATGTTTGACATGTTTGGTGCGTTTTACAGATTTACTACGGAACATCAGAACACAGGTGTTAATCAAACTGATCAAGCCCTACACCAGAATACACATACCTTTTATCTCAAAGGTAAGTCACAGCATGAAGCGAAATATTTTTTAAACATTGGCATCTCTGTATAAATATCTTCCTGTGTTACTGTTTTAGTAGTTTCTTGTATATAAATAAATGGCGATAACATTGTTTGTTTGCGCTATTATATTTTAAGTCTCCAACTGATGAAAACTGGTAGTTAGGGAAGGGTTTCTTTCTTGTTCAATCATTTGCATCTATAGATTTGAATGAGAAAAAGTTTTGCAGAAATTGAAATTGAAATTTTCAGCTCACCAGCTGGCACAAAGTCTGTCAGTTGTCCACTTTATTCTTTAAACAATTTTTTCTATAGAGTGATCAGACCCGCTGTCATATTAGTTAGGAACTGTGCTTGGTGGAGTACGAATATAAAACTACATTCAAGGCCATTGATGATCTTGGGTTTGGGGTCAAATATGAAAATCTTAAAAACATTAACAAAATATATCTCCTAAATGAGTCATGAAGCCTAGAGTCGTGATATTTGGACAATTTCTTCAAATATGCCAAGAGGCCTAGAGTATTGCTATTCAGCTAGAAGCTTTTATGGATTATGGATGAGGGAACAATAGCTATGCTATTACACTAGGTTATGACATTTATATGTAATACTGTACATATGCTATTCTTTTACCCTAATATCAAATTACAATTTCTTCTAGTAAATTATGTTTATTAATGGAAATATTTCCTTTAATATAAGACACTTGCAGTGAAAACAAAAGTGCTTCTTTATTAAAATTCAGGCAAAATATTGTTATATGTCGAACAAGTCTGTTTTAAAAATATTTCATATGGTCCATCATTTTCTTTTTAAATATCACATCAAGATATTTATTTTAGGTGTATGGTAATACCTTGTGAATTGTAACATATCTTGTTTTAAACTCGAGTCATTTAGCTGTTAATATCACAATGTTGAAAGTGAAGCATACATTCTGAATGGTATCTTGGTACTTGCAGGAACTCAACATAGACCCATTGGAGGTGGAGAATCTACTGGTATCGTGTATCCTTGACAAGTAAGTGCACATCCTACAGTGACAATACCCCACCACATTGTCTGTGTCAACTGAAAATGTCAACTGAAAATAAAATAACTGAAAATGTCAACTGAAAATAACTGAAAATGTCAACTGAAAATGTCAACGTAAAACGGAGATCTACGTGTCACTTAACAAACATTTGCTACTTGTTCGGTTTTATTATTTAGTTCTTTTGCAAAGTCTGCAAACCAATTGAATTTTATGCTGAAAAATTCTTTCTTTACACTTTTGCTTCAAATGATTTATTTGCAAATACCGATATTTAGTTTATAAGAAATGAAATAAAAGGTTAAAAAGCATTGCTTTTAGTATTTGAATTCATGTTTGACTTTCATCACAAATTAACAAAGAGATATGATTATTATCTTGTAAAAAAATACATAATGTTGATCTGATGAATTCAATTTGGCAATATTTTGCCATTTCTATATTTATGTTTCAAAATCATTTAATTATTACTACGTATGATTATATTGTACAATGTGCATGTTTTCCAAGTTGTTTTCAATATGATCAGAATGGATGTTTTTAAGATGATTACAATACAATTCAAAAGAGATGGGTTTTAATACTAAATAGAAATTATATTGAAGTTTTCATAGTTTCATAAAAGTTTTGAGATTTTTTTTGCCAATTTAATAGCCATTCACTGATGATTTTTTTTTTTTCATGTTTAAAAATGTGGTCCCGTTTCAGCGCTATACATGGAAGGATAGACCAAGTAAACTTGGTGCTGGAACTTGACCGAGAGGCCATGGGGACAGCAAGATACAATGCCCTGGACAAGTGGACAGCCCAGCTACAAACAGTTCACCTGGCTGTGGTCAATAAGACCGCATGACACAACTGACCACCAACAAGTGATCTAGACTGACCATTGGGTCTTATAAATTATTGATGCCATTAAACCAGATTTATCCCGTGAATTTAGAAAATCTGGCTCAAATGGCTTTCTTACATCTTCGTGAAGTAGATGTGTAAACCCAATATTTTGGTGTTGAAGGTTGAATAAATGTGGTAATTAAAACTTCTTGCCACGATTTTATTGGATTTGTATTAAAACAAATGAAAGACATTTGGAAGCTTAAAGGCCACAGTTTGTATTACGGAAGACAATTGATTGCCAAGTCTAACTAATTATTTAAACATTAGTTTTTGTGAGAATTGACCAAGAACGATCATTTAAAAATTGTTTCTCGTAAATGGATATTTGTTTGTGCTGAGTTGTTGAGAAATGTTATTGTATTTGTAAATGATTTACAAATTGTGTATCTAACTAAGAGCTGCTTCCACTAGGAGGATTTAAATACTCTGCATCGGCTGTATCTATTTCACCAGAAAATGATCTACACAAGCTATTCCGGTGATGTGTGTATAGAACCTTGTTATCGGGACTCTGTTTATACTTTCTAAATTATATTAGGATTTATTTTCAGTTACGAGGATTTATTTTTTGTCTGGAGTCTGGAGAATCAAGGTGCTACTATACACAAAAATTTAAACAAAGTGTGTGGACTAAAAAGAGTTCAGTATTTACAAAGCTGAAAACTATGGACTTACAAGATTGCCGTGTACTCTGGAACCTTAATGTCTGGAATGATGAATATCCAGTTTGCACACAAGCCCAAGTGTTTGGACTAGCGGAGATCTACTGGTACAAACAAGCCGGAGTGTCCAGTTTATTAAAATCCACTGGTACACACAGGACACATGTCTGGACTACAAAGTTCCACTGTACATACAAGCCTTACTAGGGAGCTTCTACGATATTCAGTACTAAAGATATTGTAGACATGAGATCATGACGCCAAACTACCAAGATCTTGTATGTGTACAGTTATAAAAATAAACATTTTACACAAACAAAAACAAACAAAATCTATTATTTTTTATTCAAAGGTGAAAATGAATTAATGAATTTAAAGCCCTTTAGATAAATCAATTTTAAGAATTGAGAGCATTCTTAAAGAAGTTTTGTTATTCATAGACCTGAAGTTTGTGGTCTTCATGCAGCAATTAATTGCTAAATAAGTTTGTGGACTGCCGACTCTATATATCAGTTAATAGAAATAACATGAGCCTGAGAAGGGCTTGATTTACAATAAACAGTTGATCTTTATACAAACATTGCGCTGGCTGAAGGTACCTGCAGGTCGACACAGACCAGCTATTTCACCCACTTCGACTGAACTGGCTTGCACTTACATGTACGTTTGACAGATTTGGTGGCCATTTAATTTGTGTCCACGAGTTCATACCTTGATGACTATTCACTGCATTTATGGTTCTAGCCAGCTGCCACTTGTACTCTATGTTTTATAAACTTCAAAAGAAATCAACTGGTTTGGTAATGTCACCTCAGTTTTCACCACTAGTGTATTAAAGTTTAACTAGCATTTGGACATTTCCCATATGCATTCAGTCAACTCCTTCACCCCTGAAATTTGATAATGGACTAATCAAACATTTCTATTGGAAGTGTTAAAACGTGTCTTCAGGTTGAATTAGTTAAAATTGGCAAGTTAAAGCAGATTGAAGTTTCAGTAACAACAAAACTAAAATAACGGATGTAGTAAGTTTTATTTTAGTTTATAAACAATATGAAAAATTATCATTACAATAATTCTGTACAAATATGAGTTTAAAAAAGTACAATACTGAGGCTAGGAATGTTCCTATGTAATATCACAGTTAGTGTGGAGTGAATGTTTTATTTACTAAATACAGGTGCCACGGAATAGCAACAGGAAATGGAGATACAATAATTTAATTTCAATACATGTACAATATTTCAAAAAATATCAATCAGTTGAGATTACTTTTTGTTGAAACTTGATTGAATGTCACCATACCTTTTATTGTTGATCAATTACCAAATGTGCAGTATTCAGTACAACAGTGTAAACATGTTACGATAAAAACTGCTAAGGGTGTCGTAAACAAATGTCACTGAGGTCATGTTTCTATTGAAGAGAGAATGCTAGGACTCTTAACATGGAACCAACTTAACTCATTTACCCCTGAAGACACATTTGAACTCTTCCAATTCAAAGGTTGGAATAGTTCATTAAGAAATTTCAGGGGTGAATGAGTTAAAAGACATCGTCAATAGTAGCAAAAAAAAAGATCCTGTTTTTATACATTTTTGTATCTATAATATTTCAATACAACTATTTCAACAGAAATTGAGCATCCATAGACTCGATTGCCACTTTTATTCAGGAGCTCACCAGATAGCCACAATATAATTCTGGAATGTGTAAGAAAATGAAGGCAGCTGCACTGTAAAATTGACTAAGTTAAATGTTTAAAATCAAATGGTGATGAATCATCAGTATGTTAATAAATTAAATGAAAATGAAATTTAATTCTGTTGCTCAGCATTGTAAAAAGAATGATCTTTGAAATGATTTGGAACACAAACAAACAACATAATTGCTAACTTACTAAATTTATCATTATTTAAGTTATATAAATAATAATTACCAAGAAACAAGAACTACTGTGAAACCTAGACATCAGTGTTACAGTCATGTCCGACATTAACGAGCTTCTTTAACTCGGGTTTCAGTATATTTTGTAGATCACATTTCCAATGACAATTCATGATCAGTTTCAATTTTTTGCAGATTTCTTCATCCCAAAATAAGTTAACTAAAAAATGAAAGAAAAAATTTGAATGCAAAACATGCAGTCTTTAGGTGGACATTTCTATAGTTTTATATTTTTGTATCTGAAATAACTCTGCCAGCGGAAGCCACCAAAATGGTTGTTGTTTAAGAAATAATTAGGTTAACGAACTCCAAGACCTCCCTGTTAAATTGACTCACTGGAACTACATCACGAAAAGACACCAATTCAAACAGCCACATCTAAGAGGTAGCCCGACAGGTTGTAATTAGTGACAAACTAAATCAGGGCTTCACGAAACTTAATGGACAAGGACAATAGTTAGCCCATTATGAATTCTTACAAAATTTACAATGAACTAGCTTATATTACTCTGGGGGAAAAAAGGAATTCATGTTGAACAATTCTGGAATGCTGATGATTTTAGATATACCTTAAGTTTAAAGCTTTTATATTGATGTCAATGATAGAATCTGTTCTGTCCCAGCTGTGGATTTCTATCTCAAAGTAGATTATTTCCCTTGCATAGCTACATTCCAGGTAGGATCGCAGAGCACTTTTCATAAATGAAGAGGTATATCATTTTTGTTTTTAACTGATGAGGTTAATATGAGTTTGTTCAGCAGGTGGATCTGTGAACAGCAAATCCTCAACAACCCCATGTCAGGACCTTCTCCATTGGTGAAGCCGGGGGTCAGCCCCAAGGAGTTCATCATAGATCTATAGAAACAGAGCTACATGCATAGCGTAGTCCTAGCTAAGGATAGGTTGAGAGAGCAGTCGCAAAGGAGAGACACTTCTGCTCCGTGACATACTGCGGTCCCTGGAGGCAGATCGGCTGCGTTGCTCAATTTTACCAACTTCCACTAGATCTTTTAACCTTCCAAGATGAACCATAGCTCTGAAAGTTGAATTAATTATTATTTTATTTAACAAAATTATACATTTAAAGTAAAAGTCGCACTCAACATTAGCACAATATTTTTCTACACATTGATCCTCATCTACCATTTTTCTATCTCAGAACTTGCATATGATTGATTTAAATCTAGATTGTAAAAATGATTTTTAATTCATCTTAATGTTTGCGATGACAATGAGATAGAGTATAGATTTTTCTATAAACGGCACTATTAAAATTTAAAATACTAGCATGTTATTCATGTGTTTCAAAATGATGTATAACCAAAAAGATGGAGTGACTCACTTCTCCAGGGACTGGCCCCCAGGTTCCCCCTGGAAATTGTAACCCTTCAGGGCAGGTAAGTCTTCATCAGGTTTCAGGGAGGAATTACTGGCATTGAGCTCCTTCCTCTGCAGCACAATTACAAGGTAATTAGTATAAATCTGATTAACATACAGCAATGACATGTCCTAGAGAGTTCAGACATGCAATGATGCTATTATGATAGTGGTTGTGGTAAGGGATGGGAATATAATTATTCCTAGATCATTAAGCAGCAAGTACTTGTATTTCATCAGTCAATCACAAATTCAAAGATATCTTTACTTATTCAAAATCCAAAGATTATCATTTTACACTTCCCTACTTTTAAGAGTGAATGACATTATGAGTTATTCTTCCGATACATTTATGGATCTTGTGTACTTACTGAGGCTGCAATTATTTGAGCTATTTTCTCACGATTTGTAGTTTCTTCTGAAGCTTCAGCTTGTAACTTAAACAGCATATTTTTAAGTGTCTCCAGACTCCCAAGCTGTGTCCGGCCAGTCAGGGTATCGCACTGTAAAACCAGTCATCACACTATTATTTCTCTTGTAGTTTTTATGAAAAAATGCTAAATAACTTATAGAAATAAAACTAAGAATTAAGAGGAAGAAAAGTACTGTAAAAATAGATAATTTAGCAGTTTTCTCATTCAACTCTTTTTGAGCTATATGCTAATAGAATGGATGTCACTTTGTTAAAATATGAGTTTGCTAATATATAATATATCTATACTGACAGTATTGATTTTTTAACAAACATTTAACATTCATTTTTGAGATGTCCAACAAGTTCCAGTAACAATGCCTTAAATTTTCAAGATTTCATAGTCTTTAAAATCTATCGATAAAAAAGAGTGTTAACACTTAAAAATTTACCTCAAAGGTGGTTTCAAACCGTCACAACGTTAATAAAATATTTTTGCAATATATTACCTCCCCTGCAGCATCTCCAGGCCCCGATTCCTCTTCAGATATATAAACAGGAGCCTTGCTGTAAACACATCAACAAAACAAACCATTAAAACTGGATATATACACAAGCTTTCACAATTTTTTTGATAAATCTTTTAAAGAGAAGTCTCTGAACTTTCCACGCAAAAAAAACATCAAGCCTGTAAACTATTGAAGATTAAACTATTTTCATACGATTGATTTTAATTGTGTTAAAAACAATGAAGCAAGTACAATAAATATGTAGAGGGTGGGAGGGGTCTATACTGATAACACTGGAATCAGTGGTGTCCCTCGTTTGGTCCGTAGGTGAATGAAGTCCAAAACACACCATTTATCCCCTTTCTAACAAACTTTTATGAACTTTAACACATAAAGTTGTGCATTTATTTTATCAATGATTTAGCTGGGAGTTAACTCCCTTTTCTGATTTCTGGTTATGAACATTGTTGTTAATACTACTCCTTCCCTCCATCCTCGATATCCAGGGCTTACGCTCACTTTTGCTCTCTACACCCCTGGAATATGTCAAAGCAAAATTGAAGGCACAAAGATAGTTGTTTGATTGGTCTCGGGTAAAAAAAGACCTGACCAATCGCTAGGCTGATATCTGTCCTTTGAAGATTACAAAGGAGAGACACCCGACTTCAAAGCCTTTCAGTTTTTACTGTTATGTGACCGCAGGGTTCTTTTGATGTATATCAAAGGATCGAACTTGTCTTCTTTTCTCGTCAACAAGGTGGTACACACTGAGCCTTCAATTTTGCTATGATATATTCCAGGGGTGCAGAGAGCGAAAGTAAGCGTAACCCCTGGATATCGAGGATGCCTTCACTCCTGAACGGATATTCCTCAAACTTGGATATACATGATCATGATCAGTACCTTATGCAGTTGGAATTCATTTCCAATTTTGATGATGTTTTGGGGATTTGTGTCCCTTTTCTGATATCCTTTCATAAAAAATTTGTCCGAGGTACTCATATTTAAATTTCCCCCTCTGTGCTTGCAATTTATATTTCATTTTTACCTATTTAAACAGGAGCTGTATAAATTTATATCAATATTTAATTGAGGTAATTGCGCAATTGCCATTTATTTCTAAATTCAACCATAAAGTCAAGCATACCGAGATTTTACGTACATTGATGCAAGTGGTTTTTCCCATGGCCGATCACCATCTAATACCAGGTCTGTGTCGGGGGTCTGTGGCCTTGACCGAGATCGACTCTGTCTGATGGGGCTTCCCATAGGGGATTTACCTGTGAAAACAATGAAATATTTAACTACATGTAAATTAAAACCTTCAATTCATGAAGTTGTCTGTAGATCAGTAGCTTCTCTCCTATTCATATAAAGATCAGGACCCAGCTGTTCAAAGCCCGATTACAATTACAAGTCATCAACACAAATTTTCAAAATGCAATTTTTAATAAATATCTAAAATTTACATTTATTCTTGTAATTTGTTTTTCTTCAGGTGGTAATTTAATGTCAAAAGACCTTATTTTTCGTTCTAAAGTGGAATTTTTGAAAATGTACTAGATGAAACATTTGTGTTAAACAATCACGAAGCTTTATCAGGCTTGTCAAAACTTGCACTGATACCATATAGGTAAGTTTGTCACACAGTATGGTCCATACGCTGATGAAGTAAACTAGCCTCATATTGAAGATTGTCAACATATACTGTTTACCTGTAATATTCATTGATTTTTTTTCCCCCTTTTTGATCGGGGTTTAATATCCTTGCAACAGCCAGGGTATTAGGTTGAATGTATTGAGAAAGAAACCCGAAAGCATCAACTATCATTATAACGAAAACTTCAAAGGACTCAATTTGACATGTGTAGTATTTATATCTTAAATTTCCATAGACTTACCGCTCCGTGAGATGGGACTTGCCCCTGTAATATCACTTTTGGTAGGGGCAGACAACCCATTTAACAATGCTGTAGTATCTAAACTGGAACACCTGGGTGCATCATACTGGCTGTCTGAGTTGATGCCAGTCAGACCTGAGGAAGTGGGGGGTTTGGGGCCGCACCCTAACCCCTCTAGGTACCGGTCAAGGGCATCACTACTGTCCAGCTTAGTATTCCCACTCTCTAATACTTCTCTAGGTAGTTTACTTGCTATTTCAAACTTCTCTCCAGGTAATTTCCTCGGAGTGAAATTATTTGAGGATAGGTCAAAGTTCACAGATTTACCCTTGGTGGGTGTCACCATCAGGTCCTTATAGGACAGACCAGGCGGGTTGGACAGTGTTGAGTTTCCAAGTCCTGAAATGTCCATATTTGGAGCTAACAGATTATTGATGTCTGTCTGGTAACTGGTAACACCTGACACTAAACTGTTAACGTCCGACCCATCCAGGCCCTGTACCCAACTGGGTGGAGGACGACCCGCAATGAGGTCACGCTTGGACCATAAATTGTCACCAGGATTAGAAATATCCAAGGCCTCTATCCAACTAGGAGCCTTATGTTTGGATGTGTTGGTGTCTAATCTGAAGTCTTTGCGGGAGGCACTTTGTGGATCACTGAATAGACGATCATGCTGCCTGAAGGAGGAAGGTGACACAGAACGACTCCTCTCCCTTGGGAGACCACTCCCACTAACCGGCGGCCGGTAACTAGAGGGGGGTTTATTTGTCTTAGAGTCCTTCTTTAACTCAGGCTGGAGGTCAGACTCCGCACCAGGTCTTTCTCTACTGAGTGACCTTGACCGTGTGAGCGCAGTCCTGTACGAGTACACATGGCCACGCCGCTTGGGCTCCTCAGCCTCTGAAGCCGCAGCAAGTGCAGCTGTATATTCCTTGCTGTAGCCACCCACTGGGTTCATAGACAACAGGACATCAGTGGCCATGCTGCCCACATCACTGGCTGCACCAACCATCGGTACCTTCTCGTCGTTAGCTAGTCTGTTCAAAAGTCTTCCTGACCGGTTCAAAGCATCCTCAGCTGTGAACAGAAATATATTTATTTGTTAATTTATTTATTTTTAAATGCATAATACAGCAGCCATACCAGTTGCTAAGTGATTATCACCATTTTGAATGGTAAAATACCAGGAAATTAATAGTAAAATTTGCACAGTTATCTCCACTTTTATGGTCCTTGCCCCTTTGCATTATTTATGAGATAAGGTAAGTGTCTGTTTGTATAAAACAAATAGAGCACTCAAGTATGGAGACTTGTCTGTCAGTATCGCTTGCCTTTCCTACAGATCCAACAGAGTTAACATAACTAAACCACTGCCAACCTCCTCACAGCAGTGTAATAGCATACTTACACAATATACAGGTATCAATAGCTACAGATTGCACGCATGTTCAAGATAGTACTAATGACAAATTTCTGGTAAAGGTTTCGGGTTTTCATTTATTTTATTTTCATTTTGTTTAGGCTCTAATCTCGGAAACAGAATTTTAATACAGCATTCAAAATAAAGTGAAATATCTATTGAAACAGAAGCTTGATATCAAAAGGGTAGCAGTCACGGTTTCTTTAGGTTTATACTCATACAAGTAATTTTTAGTACAGGTACAAGTGTATGTACCAGGTACAAGTAAGTCATCATTTGCCATAATGGTATATCCGTGATATTCATTTAATAATATATATCTAAATCCTTCAGAATGGTAAGCGCACTACTTTCCATTTTGCAGGTTTCCGTTTATATACCATGAAACGATTATCAAGTCATTAAAATCTGTGCGGAGTACTTATCGACGCCTTGGTCATTGTTTTGGAACCCTGTTACAAAATGAAAAAGCTAAGGTATTTTCTGACAAATCTTAATACATGTACTATCCGTTCTATACTGCAATAACTTAATATATATTGAAATTTGACCCTAACTTCAATTCAGTGATTTCCAAAGAAGACAATTCATGCAAGTCCTTATGGTACAATACACAAGTAGGGAGCAAAGTGATGGAAGGTGGAAAAAACCTTCAGAAATTATACTCAGTGAAATTTCTAAGAAAAAAACATAAACATGTATGACTATTCACATGATTACAAAACAATTCAACAAAAAATCAAGAGGAACCAGGAAAAACATAGGAAAGACATGATCACTTTTAATACAAACTTGCAAATTAAGGTTTTCTTACAAAGTTGACCTAGATAATGATAATTACAAAGACAATGAAGGCGATATAGACGATAACCTTATCATACATGTAAATTGTGCATCAATATTGTTAGTTGAAATAAAATGAAGTGACATGGAATTGAATATCATCCAAACATCTAACCATGTGCGTGAAGTAATACAAACATAAATTGTGCATAGAAAAAAAGTGATGATAACAAATGAATATATATTGTAAGGAAGAATTAAAACAAAAAGAAGTGAGAAGTACGTGTCATACAGAGATAGTATATATATATATGAACTGCAGGTTACGATATCAACCTGTACACTCTGGAACATGTACTGTGGTAACATCGATAGGCAGGGTCAGACCGAGTCCCCCAATGAGCCTATATATGCTGTATGCAAAGATCATACAACAAGAATATTAGCATTGGTATTTATTGCTCTAGTCTTCCAAAATCCTGGATATATGACAATGAGATTTTCATGTTTTATGACCGAATTTTCCCCAGATAAAATGTTTGATAAAACCTATAAAGTCTGTAGCCCTGAGGAGCTAAAAGTAAGGCTGTAACATTCATCACAATGAAGAATTCACAGTTCAAGTTAATGAAGCTAAATAATCTCAATCATATCTTAAATCAATCTAAACTTCAACCCTAAAGGTAATGGCTATTGCAGCTGAGAATTAAAAGAAGATTTTTTAAATTCCACCAATTATTAATGATTTTTTCTTTTTTTCCAAGAAATTTACTAGGTAAGCTTATACTTATAGGGAATGGTGCTATGACTTGACATATTTTAAACGAAACTTGTAAACTTCTACATTGTCTTATATATACTGAATACAAAATGTATTGTAATCCTAAGCATCAATTTAAATTTATCACGATCATGTATTGGTGCAGAGTGAGAAACTGGATGTAAACATTAATATAGATCTCTAAAGCTGAATTTGTGCTAATTTAATCAAAATAATTAAGTAATGGCCTTTAAAAAATATAACAGATTGACTTTAAACTAAAAATTCAAAGAACAGAACACTATCTTTATCGTGTTTTGAGAAAATACGGTACAGTTTGTACAGTCTTGCTTCCTACATATATGCATGTGTATTTACTACATTTAATTTTAAATAGTGTACAATGAAAACATGCAACCCATACAATCAACACTTAAATTACTCTTATCAACATCTTATAAAGACAACATCAAAAAGCTTGAGATTTCACATACCAGCACCACCTTTACGGCCAGAAATCTTAACCTTTCTCCCTAACAAGCCAGAAAAAAATCACACTCATAAATAATGTAGTTACATAACCCCACAGTACATCACAAGTTTTGTCAATCTGCTTCTGTCTTGTGATAATCCTTCGCTTTATTGTTTAAGGTACCGGTAAATGAGATGGTTTATCTATTCTGTACTGGACAATGTTGATTCACTTTTAAATTTCCAAACTATTGATATTGATTGCCAAAAAATACGAACTGAATTGATTAACCTTTTTAATATATTCAATTGAATCTAAACATATTATTCATAACACTGTAGCCATAAATTTAATATATAGATTACTGATACTAAATGAAAATTAGACAGTGTTCATTCCACACTTTGCCAAAGAGGTTTTACAATACCTTGGTGATGACAATTTCATGATTACTTGAGATACATATTTAAACAAGTACCATTTATTTTGTTGCTTTCTTTTTATCATAGATCATAAATTTTAATGTCAAAGATTGGAATGAACTCTCTAAGATTAGCATTTAATAAGTAGTTAAAAGTCAGATACATGATATGTAAGTTCACAAAGCATTTTATGTTAATTATTCTACTGTGAGTTATACTATACAACATTAAAAGTTTGTGTTTCTCCCTTGGTTGAATGATTGAAACTGTTCTGTCGATGATGAATTTTCAAGGTCTGCTAGTATTAGCCAGCCACATGTGTAATATGCTGTACTTGTAATTGTAGTCCACTGCATCATGAACACCATAAACTAAAGTAAATATATCTGTATACACAGCAAACCTTTCATGTTATACAGTATAGTAAAGTTTATAATGCAGGAGCAAATTCATGACAACTAATTTTACAAGAGCCCCAAGTGTACAGCATATGGCTCCTGTGTTGCTCACCGGAAATTTCGGTCGATTTAACTCATTTGAACAAATCCAAGCAAGATACAGACCAAATAACAACATAACATTACTTTTGACCTCATGGTTTGTTAGAAGTTACAAATTCAAGTTTTTCCCTTGCAACATTGAATATGTGTCAATTTCATTTCTTTAAACAATATCGATAGCACTCCACTCAGCAACCTAAAAGACAATATTAAACCCACAGAAATGCACTAGGCCATATAGATCATTAGAAGAAATCACTAAAGATTTCAACCCATTTGAGTCCCATGACCTTGAACGTTGGTCGAAGTCATTCATGGTATTAATATGTTTCACTACTCCACACTTTTGAGTCTTGACCCATGACCTTAATAAGGTTTAGGAAATTCATTTGCACAAACTTGATAGCCAATTATCCAGTGTATGCGCCAATCATCATAACCATAGGCTTTATAGTTCTATCAAAGAAGCTGTTAAAAAGTTTGTGTCAGATAGACAGACGACAGTTGGCACACCACAGAATAATTATAAGCCCATAGGGACTTTGATTTATTCCTGGTGAACCAATAAATGCTTTGTGAACTTGTTGAAATAAGTGACAGTAGATAAAATATTAGATGTTGATCCCAAAAACCCTACTACTTCTACTGTGAACCAACTTAGCTGAATCTCATACATGTACATTTACATTAATGTAGGTATGTACAACGAAGTATTCAGAATGACATTATACAATGTATCTCCTAACCCTGCAGCACCTTTGTATCTTGAAGTCGTACTTTGGTCCAGTGACAGTTTATTGCTATGTATTTTTAGACAGATATCATCTATTTACAAGATTTTAAATGGTTCCAATGGCTACTGCATATTGAGATTTGATTTTCCAAACTTTTTTTTCCATCATAAAATGACAAGCAGTAAGTTGGTCGACAGTACACACTATGACATAATAACTGAGTCACAATACACATCTTACCCCTTGAACGCCGCCCAGTCGATCCTAGACATGCAGTTGGTAAATAGGAGTTGTTTGTCAATGATTCAATGGGAGAATATAGTACCAGGTACACAGCTACTGATCTACTACTAGTTTTGACAATCCAGACTAATATTTCTACCACCAACACCATATTACTAATTAAACATAACATTTGATTTGTCTAAAATAAATTGTAAATTGAAAAAAGAAATCTTCTATATGAAATATAAACTAACTCGATTGCATTACATGTATATATGAATTTAATCTAAATATGCTATTAAAGTGAAATGTAACAAAATCAGATAATATCACCTTCACACAACCATGGGATTCTAAATAACTTTAGATAAAATTTTGTATTACAAGTACAGAGTGTTAAATACTCTACTGTCTTTCACTAAACACTAAATCTACTTGTACATATTTAATAGGAGTTTTAAGCACTTTTAATCCCTACGGACAAAATTTGCACAATGCTTGACCTGTCTGATCCCTGATGTCTTTGTACGTACCTTCTGCCCTCAAGGCACTGGACTTGTTCATCCGGTCGTAGGAGTTGTTGATGGAATCCCTGGATTGGGCCAGTTTCAGCTCCGTGGGTGTAGCACGCACCCCCGTCTTTAAGGACCGTTCTGCTGTCTGGTGTAACACAGACTTGGGATCCAGTAGGTCTGTCACATTCATATCATACTTATCTCCCTTGGGCTTTAGGCCCGCATATTGGTCCATGTATGCCTGAAGGGCCTCCGAAGCAGAAATAAATTCCCGTTCTCCAACCTGGATCCTGGATCCATGGCAACGTATTCGGCATTTAGACTGAAAGCTATTGGTGAAAAGCCCATCTGGGGTCCCGTTGTAGTGACTGAAATCCATGGCGTACCCAGAAGGCAGTATCCTAACTAGCACTTGTTAAAGATGTATTCCAATTAGTGACCTACATTGTTGAACTCTGACTGCATGTGACAACTTTCCCTTTGCATCCAATCTTGTCCCAATCATTCTGTGAACAGACAAAATTCTTATTTTACTGTCAAGCTATAACCAAGGCATTTCAAGTGGATTAAGTATCTCCATACCAATTGTCAGTCTATCAAACAATTTCATTTTGTTTTGCATTAATGCATACAAATTGTGAATGTGCAATGTACATGATTTAACATTGGCTGATGATCCAAGTTTTAAGTTTTCTTTGCATGAAAACAGAAACAAACTCAAGATCCTTTTTACCCAGAATGTACGTGATTTTTTGCAGAAAAAAGGGAGAATTAACGGCATGATCATCACCCTTTCATCTTCTATGAGACATTACAATTTCTTACATAGCTGGCCATGTGGGATAGAATTGTCCCATGATGGAAAGCCAATATGTTAGAAACATTCATCTTACATACATCTGTAGGCATGACTTTACAATGACAATGAGATGAAGTCATGTCGCACAAAGGTATACGTCATTTTAATTTAAACTTACTTTCCAGTTCCAGTATTTTTATCTACAACTTCTGCTGTGTTACTTATACAGTAATTTGAAATTATAAAATAAGCACATCTTTTAATAAAGAAATGACTTACCTAAGATTTCAGTACTCATCCTTCCAAACCCGGACTTATCAGTGCACTGAGCTTCGGTCACATGCAACGACCTACAAAAGCGAAAAACATTTAAATTCAATTTCAAAATGAATGTGCTATATATACACTGTATAAGCTGGTAAGATTAATCTCATTGATATACAAATATGACTTTTATATAAAATCTTAAAGTACATCTCACTTCTCTCTGTCGTGACCTCACATGTAAATTTTTCTACCGCAAAAGTGCAAGTATTTTGTTAAAATCAGGCTTCTGTGAATAACAGCAGCATTCAGATTGACTAAACCTGTAAAACGTATTAATTTTCTGACACGGAAACCTTGAGATGCATCCAAGTGGACAAAACTGTTAGAAATCATGTGACCAAGATCCGTATACTCCTCTGCAGATCTGGACTTGCCCTGTTGTTGAGTGCTTGAGTAACAAAACAAAATATGACTGCTCACATATCAATTATATACGGGCCACTTGACAGATACTGTAGGAATTTCGATGTAAATACCAGGAAGGTACATGTATTGTAATCAAAGAGAACATGTTCTTTGTCAACAAGTTGTATTGTGCTGGCAATACATTGATACCTTTAATCTGAAAATTGGGCACAAGTCTATTGACTTAAGTCGGTAATGGGTTTCGCCAAGCATTGTGCTGTGTTTATTCTCTAAGTCTGACTTATAATGAGGCCTTTTTAACAAAGGCCCAAGCTTTACTTGTGTCAAGCCTTTTATTATCAAACAACAACCTATGTCAACTCGCCGCCAGATATCATGATTGTTAAAGAATTAGACGTCAAGTTCATCATGTCAAACGGTCACAATTAGTACAGTTTCACTGTACTGAATTTTTTTTTAAAGTCCATTCAAATTATTTTAATCTGTTCGAGTTATCACTCAGATCTAACAAGACAAGACAGAACAAATATGAAAGACAGAAAGAGAAAAGGAGTGGTAATACCTATAGTAGATACGTATACATTTCCTGTAGTCTTATAGTTGTATACAAATCAGGGAAATAGAAACACTTTAGTGGTCAACATCAAACTGGTCATGGATTGATGCTGTTATTGCAATAACACAATTTAATTTACATTTCATTATGTTTCTTTGTTTTCTTGTTTGATTTTATCTTTTTTTTTCAAATTCTTTTCAGTAAATTTGACAATTTGGGAAATACCTGTCCTTTTCCAGGAGTGTACTGCTTTACATAATAGCCGCCAGTTTCATCGTAAAATACAGTTTCATAGTAAACATTGAAAACTTTCAGTAGTCCTGACACATATCTACTTGCCCCAGTCATTTGCATGGGCTGCTGGTGGAATTGAACACTTAAAAATGTATTTTCAATTTGCTGGCGGTTTTTTTAACCTTTGACTTCTGTTTTAGAAAATGGCTAGCTATAGTGATTGTTCCAATAACATTCCGCTTGTTTGTAATTTAACAGTTAATTAAATAACCTAACAGGAATGTAACACAAGACACCAAATATCAACCTTAAAATGACCCCCTTCCCATACAGAAGGTATCATATGCTTATGTCACGCCCATTTCTTACAAAATGCTCTTTATGCATTAGAGTAAGCCATGTAAAATTACACTGTACATGTACAGTAACCTATATACTATAAAGCTATGATATTTACTGGTGAATGTACCCAAAAACCAGTAATCCTATGTATTTACAACACTGCAGAATGTGTATAGCATTAGTATTGTACACGTTGAGTCGGATAAGATTTTATCACTAGATATACCTGACCAGGTGGGTAACGGACAAGAAAGGGAGGTCTATATATACTAAGCAGATTGATCAGACATTCTGGTACCCGAAAATCTACCCCAAACAAAACAACCATTATCTCCTTAATCCAGTTATTTGTGCCCTCAACAACAACACACAGAAAGTAAAGACTTCCAGGTTAGGGCCACAGGTAAACATATCAATCATAAGCAACGCAGAGTTTAATGGAAATTCAGAGCCCATTAAAGATCCATCAGGAGATCCATGGCCGTGCAAGTTTGATCCCGGACTGCCACACTCCAGGACAACTAAAGAGCTACACCGGTTATAGCTCAACAGCATTACCAGACTTCCTTATATTTACAGTACTGAAATTGCGCTTCCTAGCACTTGCAAAATATGTAAAAATTTAATATTAAGGCACAGTCTTACAGGCTAATATAGACAATAGGTCTCTTTAATATAGATTTCTACAGACCAACTGAACTTTTCATAGACCTCACCTTATTCAAGAAATTTTACTCACACATTTAGTACTTAATTGATATTAATTGAAAAAAAAAAAAAAAAAAAAATGTAATAATAAAGAACTTGAGAGAACACGTTTTCCCTCACTACTACCATACATTTATCATTGAATTATAAAAACTTGTGATAAGACATGTGCATAACTCCATGATTCCAATAGATTCCAAAACCTAGTGTTTTTAATGGTAAATTATATAAATTAATTGTCTATGGGTCTAAACCGTTAAATTTGAACAGCGTTTAAGCAAAACATGACATGTACATGCAGGTATGATTTTTCTAATATGTTCCAATTCTTAAAACCTAAATCAATGATCAAATTCAAAGTCCAAGTGAGATAGTAGGATAGTGTATGACTAACCAATGTCTTTTTCTATATACCTGTGTACAGTATAAAGCATATCCTGTTATTGATACAGTGGATTGTATATGAAATTTGGAATAACTAACATAACACAGCCATGAATTGACACTTATTACAATCTAGGTCCTGGTCATGACCATCGCGGCCCAGAATTTAAAGTCACTTTTTATTAACTGTTTTAGTTTCATATGCTTGCATTGACTTAAACATCAATGCAGTGATTTATTTTAGTGCAGAAGTCATGTCTGTACAAATTGTAAGTAAACTAGATGGATATCATACAATGATACAGATCTATAGGTTTTAGTTTAACCTGCTTGTAATATGAACATCACTATAGTGAATTATTTTAGTGCAGACGTTATGTCTGTACAAATTGCCAGTGAACTATACACACATATCCTACAGATACATGTTCAAATCAGCTTATATTTATCTTTAAAATGTTATATAAATCTTCGTATGAACTTAAATGACATTATATATTAATATATTGTAATTCCGGGTGTAATGAAATTCACACACCATTCATCAGTAAACATTTAAATGCCTATATTGATTTACTTTGAACTTTAAATACATGTTCATACATATGTAGACACCAATAAATCGTCCGCTGATTTATCCAGTTTACCAATACCACACACGTACCTTGACCTTAAATGTGTCAGAACTCCTCCAGAGGTTCTCTGCCGTTCAGATTCAAGTTCAGTTCAATGTGATTTAAGTACATGTCAGAGTTTTATGGCTACAAACTCATTCTACAGTAGTGAAACTTTAAAAGCACATATATAATGATTCTTTTATGTAGAATGACCTTACACGACATGTGTGATCAATTTTATTTGGCACTAATATATTACCATTATACTGCGAGAAGATGTTTTGCTTCAGTCAATTAAATTCTACTTAAACAGGGTATGTACTTGTATAAAATTACAATTAATATTGCACACTGCATATAAGTTACAGTATGCAGTATTTAGTATGCCTTCTCTATTTATCTGACACAAGGAAATGGGTCCATGTAATTCATGCATATTAAGCATTAACAACAGTACCGCGGGGCAGAACAATATACGCCCGTCGAATGCCATATAGTGTTATATACTTTCTTACATTGAAATAAGATCTGCATCATTCTAAGAGTGGTAAGCTGATGACATGCTATAAAAAATGTAGTTGAAAATCTCCGGACAAAAAATCAAATACTGAAATGAACAAAGGGTAATTACTTTTGCAGAAATTGTTGAATCAAAATTCTTTTAAGGGAGACACAACTTCATATCATGATTTTAATGTATACAAAGTTTCAATGAAATCCATCAAAAAATGTAGGAGGAGATCTCCGGACCAAAATATCAAATACTGAAATGAACAAAAGGCAATTAGTTTTGAAAAAATTGTGTAATCAAAATTCTTTTAAGGGAGACACAACTTCATATCATGATTATAAGGTATACCAAGTTTCAAAGAGATCGGTCGATAAATGTAGGAGGAGATTGCCAGACAAACAAAAGTTTAAGCAGACGGACAACCCCATACCATAATACTTCGTCAAATTTGACGGACGTATAAAAAGTGGAAATAAGTTATGAAAAATTCCTCTCACCACGTAGTATCCTAATAGCAAACAAAATCTCCTGCTCAGAAAGGTTACGGCAAAGGAAGGACAACAACATGTTTTTGAACTAAATAATTTAGCAGGTATGGAAATTAGAAGCATACGGTCGGATGAGACTTTCAGACAACTTATATCTACCAGTATATATACTATAGCCACCTATAGTCAGCATTACCATCTCAAAATACTGCAAGCACCTTATATAAAATCTGAAGACTATTCCATTTATTTAATTAATTGTTATATACTGTATACTGGGAAATTTTCAACCTTCGAAGGTAAAATCCATTTTCGCTCAATATTTAATTCACCCTTCACATCTAATTACTATATTATGTTACATGTAAATTCATCCTCATTACGGCAAAAAGGCAAAACTTAAACTGCAGTGAAAATTCTTATACATTAATTAACAAAATTTATCGTTATATATTTAACTTTTACAAGAAAAAACTACATAAGGACTTAATTACTCAGGAAAATTGAATTATTTATAAAGATATACTGAAAGCAGAAAATAAATATTTCTTCACTGGCCTTCCTCTGTCCAAACTTTGTTTTAATGAAGTTGATAAAGTTCACATGTGCTGGAGGAATGTTTAAGAAAAGGGCCATTACTAGCATAGAATTAACACAGCATTGTCATTTTACGACATGCCTTTATCCCATCACATACACAGCAAATATATCAGATTCCGCTTTCAGGCAAAATCTGGAGGATAATGTTATGGTCGAAAGGTTAATGTTATCAGACGGACATGTTATGGCAGCATATCAAAAATGTATATGTGATGTGACACCTATTTACAATTTACACATATTTTATTACAGTATACAGTAATATTTTAAAGTTTAGGGTACATTTTGTTTCATATATATGATACACCTGTAATGTACACAAAAACAGAACCTGTGACTTACAGGTGCCTTTAATTTATAACAATCATTTTTGTGAATGATTTTGTATCAGTCGGTCCCGATCAGAAATGTTGATTCTGATTAACTGAACGTAGGTATAGATAATGTAGCCAA